GATCTTGTGTACTTTCTATTTTAAGTTTTATGTTGATTTCAGAAGATCTATTTCTATAGCTTCATTGATTTCTAATTGGTTCTCTATTACTTCCTGTTGCAGGATATTTTTCTCTATTGTTTCTTTCATATCTTATTCTATTATTGCTTCACTGCCATGAGTGGCAACAAGCTGATTGGTCGATTAAAATCCTAGACAATTCCCTCTTTGTTATTAGAAGAGAGTATTTACACTAGGCAGTTATATATTTTTCTTATCCTGGTTAGGTTAGACTTAGATTGAGCATTATAAATAGATAGCTTTTTATACTATTGTCTCTCTAATGATCTGTAAATCCTCAAACAGTACAGGGAAATATTCATCCTGATTGTTCCTAAATATAATTTTCTATTAATAAAGTGGCCGGAGAGGTACAGAATGAGCCAGTGTTTAAAAAAAAAAAAAAAAAAATTGCTTTGCTGTCTGATTTGTCTCAAATTTTTGAACCTATGATAACTTGCTAGATTAGAAATAGACTCTATTGATTCATTATCTGATTGTGAGTCAGGTATTGATTCATTGTTTATTTCTATATTTCTAGATCTGAATCTTGTGTTTCTATCTTTATCTTTAGGATTCTGTCTTTTTGTTTTGGATGTGTTTTTAATCCTTCATAAGAGGTGATGTCCCTGTAAGAAAATATATTGTTTGTATGCCTTGTTTCTTTTTTCTTTTGTCTTAAAGCAAACTACTATAAAGTTATGTTTCTAGAGTGTATAGGAATCTTTGGATGTATAGCATGCCTTAGCTTGTGTACTATTCAATGCTTGAACTATTAAATTGGTGTAGGTTTTGTCAGTACCTAGAAGTCTTGCTGAGTTGTCATTTCATTCAATTAATATTTGATTGATTTTATTATCACTAAGCTCAGATTTAGAAAATATAGCTCTTAATATTTTTATACTAATTGGAGTTATCCAAATTTCTTTAGGATTTAGGCTAAGATATTTGTACCATTTGATATAGGCTTTTACTTGTAGTTTTGTATTCATCTCATAGATATAAATGTTTTGAACTTTTTCATATTTTTTTAGATATGCTTTTATGAGATTTTTATTGTTTTTCTGATTCACATCTACCAAACATACATGCCAGATAGTAATGTCTTTTTTGGTTTTGGACTTTTGAAAAACTTTTCTATCAAGGTTTTTTTCTATCTTTTGTTTCTTATAAATGGTCAATAGTATTATATTTTGGATAGCAAAGTTTTCTTTCTTTTAGTTAACTTCTTCAATATATCTTAAAATATCTTTTTCCTCTTGTATCCAAAAAACTAACCACTTATTTCCATTGATAAACTCTTTTTGTAACAGGTTTCTTTTTTCTTATAGAAGTTTAAGAGTGTTGCTTAAATATACCTTAGTTTTGTTTTCTGTTTCTCCTGGAATATTGACTGTCATTGTATCTAACCTATAAATTCTTTTCTTTTTTATAAAGTAAGGATTTGTTGGTGGTACCATGTCTCTATTTCTAGTGATATAAGAGCTATATTCACTAATGCATTGTCTTTTTACTGTTTCTTGGAGTTTTTGTGATTCCAGTTCTTTGATCTCCTGTATACATATCATTGTTACTTTATTGTCTATTACTGATTTATTATCTATTTGTTCAATAATCTTTATTTATTATTGCTCTAATTTATATTGATTTTCAGAATTCTTGATAATTTCCATAAGCTTATCTTCAATATAAGGTTGTAAGAGATCTTCTTTAATTCCTTTGCCTTGTTGCCAAAAATATATGATATGTTGAGTTAGAATTTATTCCTTATGGAAAGTTGTCACATATACTCCTAGTATCTTATCTACAATACTATCAAGAATAGTATATGTTTTGGGTGACGAGGCAACTGGTTCACTGGATTTATTATTTCTTTGTTTTAGTAGTTGTTATGAAGCTCATAAAGTAGAGTGTTTGTCATGTTTTATTGAGAGATTGATTAATGTGTTTACTATATTTTCTTCTATTTTACTGACAATCTGTAATATATATTATACTCTATTCATATTTGCTACTGATTTAGATTTATTGATAAATTACATGATTGCTTATTTATATTTGTCAATTATTCTATTTTTGGATTGCGAATAAACCTTTCTGAGGTTGTTATTGTTTATATTTTTGATTAAATAATATAAAAAAACCTTGTTGTGTTGTTTTGATATATTTATTTGCTAATATTGAAGATCCTATCCAAATTTTACAAGTTGTTATTGTATTTGTGTGAAATATTGATTAACTTATTTGGATTACAAGTTATACATATATGTGTATGTTTTATTTATCACTTATATGTGTATACTTGTTTTGCTTGTTCACTTTTATATGATTATGTTCATATAATAAGATAAAAGATAGGTATGTTGTTTACGTGTATATGTACGTTTAGACTGTCTTGTCCTTAGGGAGCTTTAATATTTTTCTGAGCCTTTGAGTAACTGAATTAACTTGATTTATCAAGTAAACTTAGTTGTTTCCTGGATTTCTTGCAGTGTCAAGAAAGGTGTTAACTTGTATTGACTTGGCTATAAGTTATATGAAGTTGATATTGGTTCTTTTTTTCTAACTGTGAATCAGTTTATAGGTCTTTTTTCTTTTTCCTAAAAATTTTAAGAAAAAGAAGTAAAAGAAAATTAATAAAACAATATATATTTCTTTCCTTTATATTTCTAAAAGGCTTATTGTATATGTATTATAGTGACATAATAATTTGGTTTGAAAGATATGTTGTTTTTTCTTGTGTGTTTGACCAGGTTTGTTTTTTCAAAAAAATTATCAAAAAAGGAAATTTTTAAGAAAAAAAGAAAATTAACAGAAAGAGTTTTTTTTTTCAACTAAAGAGTTTTTTACTATAAAAATAGATAAATTTTTATAGTTTAAAATATTAATTAATATAATATAAATATAATTAATAAACCCGTGGATCAATAATATAATAATAGTACTTCCAGATCATCAAGTATTGTTTCTGAGTTCAATACCATTGTGAGACAATATTACCTAAGCCTAGGTAATACAAAAAGATCTCATCTGTCTTATTATAATAATCATTACTATCTGTAATCAAGATCCATCCGATTACAGAATAATCAAAGATCACAAAACATTTCAGTCAGTTATAGCACTAAAGTCATCTCATTACAAGACAAATTCTATCAAGCTTCTACAGATAGGCTGGAGATTTGTATACTATAAAAAGTTGGGGACTAGTGATGCCATAGACACATTATAAGAAAGTCTTTATCAATTGACATTCATTCAAGACTTCATATAAACATCCCATAGACTTGCTATAATAAATTATGTAAAAAGGATATCCAGTAGGATAAAACAACTTCTAAGACGTTATATGAATATTCTATAGACATACTATAATAAGTAATATAAAAAGAATATTTGATGAGATGAGATACGAAAGGGATTTCAAGTCTAATCTAACTAGCTGCAAGTCAATAAAAAGTAACTGAATATAAATAAGAGGATAGTAGGATTTCTTTCAACAACATGCCACGGGAGTCACAATTGTAGCAAATGGATTTGCTGTAATAGTTAAATAGTACTCTGGATGAGTTTGGAGTTATATGATTATATAATAGCTTTACAATTTATAATTTCAGTTATAATACATCTGCATACTAATAAACTCAGTTAAAAACTGATCCCAATTAAAAAAAAAATTTTTTTTTATTAATACTTTAATTATATAAAATTTTTTTAATTTTTTAATTAATAAAATTCTTATATATATATTTTAAAAAAATTTAAAAACATTTTTAAGAATTATTATTTTTTTTTTTATTTAAAAAAATTTTTAATTAAAAAATTAACTTCTAATAATAATAAAAAATCCAATAAATACTTTTATTATCATTATTAAAAAAGTTTCTAAAAAAAAAAAATTATAAAGTACTTAAAAGTTTTTTTATTTTTGTTATAAAGATTTTTTATCATAAATTTTTGAATAATATATTCTTTATTAAAAATAATTAATCAATATAAAAAATATATCAGTTTTTAAAATATAAATAATTTGCTATTAGTTTTAACTATATATTTTGATAATATTATTAATAATAAAAAAAGTTTATAAAAATATTCTTTTTCAATTAAATAAGTTTATAAAAAAAACAATTATAATATTAGATATATAATATAATATTTTTATTTTATATCAAATTTTTCAAATAATAAAAAAAACTTTTTTTTAAAAAAAAAAAAATATTCAAGTTTTTTATTTTAATTAAATAATGTTTAGTACTATTATTTTAATTAGACCATTATAAGTTCAAGTTTTATAAATAAAAAGTATAAAATAAAATCTTTTATTCTAAAAACTTATAATGACAAACTTTTCAAATAATATATAATTCTAATAATCAATAAATAAATTTCTTAAATAGTTTAAAACTAAAGAATATTTTATTTAGACTAATCTTTTTTTAAAAAAAATTGTTTATTTAAATAAAAACTTTTTTAAAAATTTTTGAATTATTTTTTATTTTTTTATTTTTCTTCTTCTTTTTTAATACACTTATTCAGTAATTCATCATTTTTCAAAATGACAAATTGTTAACAATAATCCTAGAGATTTTAATACCAATTTATCAAAAAAATAAAATATTATTTCTTAAATTTGACTTAAAATACCTAATTGAGACTTTGTTTTGTTTAATCCAAATTAGCTTAGTGAACTCCTTAAGTAGTGAAATCCTTCAATCAATAATGTACAAAGATGAATTAGTCGTCTTGTGAATAATCCTATTTTTTATTATAGACACATATGAACTTAATAAAAGAGCTATACAAAATTATCAAATTATCAAAAAATATATCGTAATTAATTAATTAATTAATCACGCACATCGTTAAAGTTTTTTTAAATAATGAACATAATTAAGAAATGAAGAAGTTCCATCAACATTATAATTGCAGTAGTTTAAATTAGGACCAGCTCTAAAATTCTAAACTTCAGAATCAGAATATTCTTCTTTTCTATTTACCACTCTACCAATTATAAGCGTTGATGGAGCAACCACGTGTTCTTTCTCAACCACTTCACCTAATGTTGAAACCGTTGCTTTAATAATTCGTTGATTAGGACGATTGCTATTTTCTATGAATACCGCAGATAAATCTGGGGGATATCCTTTGTCCAGTAGTTCTCTAGACAAATCACTTGCCTTACCTACTGCCATGAGTACAACTGTCGTGCGCATAATATTATATGGTGGCAAATCGGGTAATCGACCTTTAGTACCTTGTCCAGTGGTAACAAGAACTTGATCTGATAGACCTCTGTATGTGACAGGGACATCCGCTGCCATTGGAGCAGACAATATACAACTAATACCTGGAATTACTTCAACATCCCAACCTTTTTCTCTGAAGAATGCCACCTCTTCTCCACCACGCCCAAACAAGAATGGATCACCTATCTTTAGTCGAACTACAGTTTTTCCTTCATTCAATGCCTCAAGACACCAATTCTGAAGTAAATCTTGTGAATCAGGAGACTTTGTTATTCCCGATTTAGCTGGAGCAAAACGAATCTCACACGTTATATTTTCAAACACGGCTTGAGGGATAAGTCTATCAGATACAATTACGTCTGCACTATTTAGAGCCTTGGTAGCCTTGTAGGTTAGTAGTTCGGGATCACCAGGTCCTGCTCCAACCAATATAATACGGCCCTTTTTTTTTTGTTCTTCGATATTTATTATTGGCATGCTGTCATTGTACAGTTCCGAATTTGTATTATTATTTTCAGTATCATTCTTTCTTAGAGAAACACCCGATGCGAACTTTGAAAATTCGGGAACTTCATTATTCACATAAAATGACATCAAAGCTTCAATCTTTTCTTCATCCAACTGTTGCAATTCTTCCAGCGACCATTCCTCACAAATATTTGACATCCAAGTCATCCTTTTCGTCGAAGAAGTATGATCTGGATCAATTTGTTTTACTTTCTGCCTCAATAATCCAACTGCATTGATCGCAACATCAACTCCATGAGGCAAATTATTTGCGATATGACGACGGATGATGTTTGCCAACTTTGGACCTTGCCCATTTGTAGATACGGCAACCTGAAGAGGGCCCTCACGGTGTTCTGACATGAAATAGAAATCACACATCTGTGGAACATCCGCTACGTTGACAGGGATTCGTCTTTCTCTACACAATTCGCATATTTCACGTGATCTTTCCGGATCATCAATCGCGGTAAGGACCATGTCTACCCCATCAAGGTCAGAAGTTTCAAATTCTCGATCAATCCATTTGTGAATTTGTTTTTGCTGGATACGATACTTCAATTCGTCCTTAAGGCCATTTTCGGGACATACAAGAATTACCAAGGAATCGGCTTCTAATGCTTTTATGACTCTACTTGATGCAACGTCACCACCACCAACAATGAGAACGCTCTTATTTTTCAGACGCCAGGAGAGAAGAAGTGAGCCACCTGTTCTGATTGGAGAATACTCTTCTGTCATTTTGAAGGCAAGATGATTTTTAGTAGATTTTGGCACGTCAAATAATGATAATCACGATCGCCATAAGTTGATTTTATAGGAACCATAAAAAAATCGATTAAAGTTATATAATAAGATTATTATTTAAAAAGTATATTTTTATTAAAAAAAAAAATAATTAAATAATTAACAAGTCAAAATTTTTTAATATAAATAACTTTATCTGCATTATATATTTAATCTAATCTTATTGAAAGTTTAGTAATAAATTAAATATATACTGTAAATATATATTTATTTAAACATTATAATATAATTTTTATTTTAATTTAATTTATTAATAATATAAAAATTATT